ACGGTTTGTGTGCCTTAACTATTGTATGTAAATTTACTTCTAAAAAACAAAAGTGAGCCTGGCATGGTGGCTCATTCCTGTAATCCCAACTTTCTGGGAGGCTGAGAAGGGAAGATTGCCTGAGCCCAGAAGTTTGACACCAGCCTGGGCAACTTGGCAAGAACTCGTGTCTACAATAAATAAAAAAATAAGCTAGGGCATGCCTGTAGTTCCAGTTACTGGGGAGGCTGAGGTGGAAGGATCACCTGAGCCCAGCAGGTTGAGGCTGTGGTAGCCATGATTGTGCCACTGCCCTCCAGCCTGGGCTAAAGAGTGAGACTCTGACCCTAAATCAATCAATACATATAAAAGTAATAAATATAAATATAACAGTTTAGAGCTCCGTTGCTCTTTCTCCTGACCTGACTACTCAGTCAACTGCTCTTGTTCTCAGTAGTGTTGTGTACACCTGGGAGTGGCCCTTCACTCACACTGCTGGTGGCCATACCTGAGAGCAGACAGCAGGAGATCTTCAAGCTAGAGAAGAATTAGGTGGCCAGTCGGAGTCCTCCTCACTCACAGATGTTTGCACATGGGGCAAAATTGGGTTTAGGACTTACTTCCACGTTAATGTATCCCAATAGCAAAGTTGTTGGGAGCCATAACATACATATTATATGTTATGGCTCCCATCTCATTTCAAAGCTGTGGAGACCGTCAACATTTTAACAAAATAAAGGAAGAAACAACAGGCAATGCTTGGCTTGGTCCAGTTCACCACACACAGTAAGTGAGGAAGAGCCAGACTTAAGCTGAGGAGGCACGGGGACTTCTTTTCCAGTCATACCAAGAACTTCTGCAGTGATGGCAGACAGCTTGTAGCCCTGGTTTCTCAGTTACCCAGTATAAAAAAAAAATTTATTTTTTTTGAGTCAGGGTCTCACTCTGTCGCCCAGGCTGGATGGAGTTCAGTGGCATGCTCATGGCCACCACAGCCTCGATCTCCTGAGCTCAAGTGATCCTTCAGTCTCAGCCTCCCAACTACCTGGGACTATAGGTACACGCCACCATGCCTGGCTAGTTTTCTTTTTTTTTCTTGGAAGAGACAAGGTTTCCCTATGTTGCCCAGGCTGCTCACAACAGCCTCAATCTCCTGGGCTCAAGTAATCCTCTCGCCTCAGCCTCCCAAAGTGCTATGATTACAGGCGTGAGACACTGTGCCCAGCCCCCAAAATTAAAATACATGCACTACCTAGACTATGAGGAATTACATTAAAATAGTGGAAATGGTTGTTTCTGGGTAGCTGGAATAAGGATAGTTCTTATTTTCTCCCTTGCACTTAAAAAATTTTTCCCAAATTAGATAGAAAAAATAAATTGTATAATCTTTCATGATCCGCTTAGATAGAATCCCCTCAGGTGTCTTTCCAGACTGTGAAGCAGGAGGGAAGAGGTGAACCCTCAACATTGCACTCCCAATATAGTCTCTGTATCCCCAAAAGGGGCCAATACAAAAGCAGAAAGGAAGGGGAAGGGACACGGACATGGCTTCAGGAGTTAAACTGAAACCAGCCACTTCCAGCCAGTCTTATAGGTGTTAAGCGAAGGACATGATGTGCTTGGAAATAGTACCATGACCCTTATGAAATTTGCAGACAATTAGCTTTTTCTACTCCCTATAGCCCGTGAGTCCTGGTTTTCTTAAGAATATGAAAATTGGCCGCGTGCAGTGGCTCAGTCAGTAATCCCAGTACTTTGGGAGACTAAGGCAAGAGGATTGCCTGAGCCCGGGGGTTAGGGACCAGCCTGGGCAACTTGGTGAGACCTCATCTCTACAATAAATCACAGAATCTAGCCGAGTGTGGGGGTGTGTGTCTGTAGTTCCACCTACTTGGAAGGCTAAGGCGGAAGGATCGCCTAAGTCCAGCAGGTCAAGGCTGCGGTGGCTGTGAGCGTGCCACTGCACTCCAGCTTGGGTGACAAGAGTGAGACTCCACCTCAGGATTGCAACTAAGGATCTGCAAAGACATAGAGAATGGAACAATGGACAATGGGGAGGAGAGAGGGGGGAAAGGACAAAGAAAGGGAGAGGGGTGAAGGGATGGATGTCAAAGAAATCACCTGTCGGCCGCATATATGTATAGATATAGAAGAAAGTCTTTACTTGTCAGTCACGTTTTGAATTACAAAGGTAATTGCAAAATATTTAGAGTGAAATTCCAAGCTCACCCTATATGACATTTTGGAAATAAAGGAAAAATGGACAGATTTTAGCAGGCAAGGCTGAAAAGAGGAAGCAGAGTCATGGCTCAGGGAAGTACTGTGCATGTTCCAACTCCAGGGACTAGTTGACACCCCATAAGACTAGAAGCCATTGAGGTGGCGAGGCAGTGTGTCTGGTTAAGCCCTGTCACTTATTGGCTGTGTGTGTGTACACATTCATACACACACACACACACACACACACACACACAGACATATATAATGTATATATATTCCCACTCAGGTGGTAATGGCATCTAATACATGAGTGAGAGTAGCCAAGCTGAGCTGGGTTTTTGGCAAATGCTTTGAATGGTATTTTTAAAATCATTAGAAAAATAGGATTCTCTATTCTAAGTCAGAGCATCCCCACCACACACTCCAATATCATAATATCATGTTAGATTTGGGTCCATTAATTTTATATTTATATTATTTATTATTATTAGAAACAGGGTCTCACTCATTTGCCCAGGCTGAAGTGCAGTGGTGCGATCCCAGCTCTCTGCAGCCTCAACTTTCTGGGCTCAAGTGATTCTTCCACCTCAGCCTCCCCAGTAGCTGGACTACAGGTACATGCCACCATGCTCAGTTCGTTTTTGACTTGTTTTTGTAGAAATGAGATCTCACTATGTTGCCCAGGCTGGTTTCTAGCTCCTGGGCTCAAAGCAGTTCTTCGACCTTGGCCTCCCCAAGTGCTGGGATTACAGGTGTGAGCCACTTATACCGTGCGTGCCCAGCCGGGCCCATGAAGTTTTATCACAACATTGATAAAATGCATTAAAGGCACTTTTGCCCACATTGTGGGCTCTGAATAATAGGTCTGAGCACATCTGACCTGCCTCTCCCTGCTCCATCTGTGGGTTGAGCCAGTGGCCCAGATCATGCTTAAGGATCAACATTCCCCGTGAAGCCCTCCTGGAGACCAGGCCCCTCCAAAGGTGAGGTCTCCACCCCCCCCAACCCGACTCCAAACGTTAAGAGGCTTTCCTCAGGTCTGTCCTTTGCCCTCTTCTCTCTCCTTGGCTGTTCTTCTAACTGCCCAGATAGGCTCCAGTGTCCCACATTTCCGTCATCTGCTCCCACTTTCTCTTGAACTCCAGACCCAACTTCCACTTACTTACTGGAAGTATTTCTCAGATGTCCCGTGGACAACACAAACTCATCACAACTACATTCTTCCTCCTCTCAAAACCCACAGCTGATCCCTCCAGCCAATTGCAAAACTCCGGTCAAGTCTCTTCCCCACTTCAATCCTTCAACGGATGTAGCCAATTACTATGAAGCAGTGAATGCCCTGTCCTGGTTTCGGAGTTCTCAGAGACTCAAAGTCACACAGCTCATGAGTGACAGAGCTTAGTCAGACACACTGCCTCACCACCTCAATGGCTTCCAGTCTCACGGGGTGTCAGCTACTCACTGGAGTTGGAACATGCACAGTACCTCCCTGAGTCATGACTCTGTTTCCTCTTTTTAGCTTTGCCTGCTAAAATCTGTCCATTTTTACTTTATTTCCACAATGTCATGCAGGGTGAGCTTGGAATTTCACTCTAAATATTTTGCAATTGCCTTTGTAATTAAAACTGTAACTTATAAATAAGGACTTTCTTATTTAATTTTTCAAGGCTTGATTTAACTTCTAAAAGCTTTCATTATTCCCTAACCAAACATCACGTGTTCTCTCCCAAATCCCTCCACACGTCTGGGACCATCACACTGGCGTCCATCAGAGCTGTGCGAGATGTATAAGTCAGGTTGCAAATGTCTTGGGACCGAGGTGTGTATCTTTGTACCCCAACACATAATACAAGGATTATCAACACATTGGTGGTATTTTGTCAATGTTATACCCAACTGTACTTTAGGGAATTCAGTGACAGGACTGTCAAAGGTCCTGTGGAGGAGGTGATCAGGAGACCCGTGTCCTCAGTCACACTGAGGCAAGCACAGGAGCCCAGAAGGATCAGAATGGGGCAGAGGAGGGGACAGGGGAAAAGCTGTTCTATGACCAACAATGAGAAGTATGTCCCTGGGAGTTCTCCCTCTGCTTCTGCTCTTCAAGATGTCCCTTCCCAGAAATGATGGAGAGGGGAATGCAGTACAGAACAGGTCAGCAGAGTCTTGAAATGCTGTGGCACCCAGGAGAAAAGTTGTGGCCACATCCTAATTCCACGATTCTGCCACCATTTCTTAGTTGGCTGCCCTTGCTCAAGTCTTTTAATCTTGCCAGTCTGTTTCCTTGTAAGATGAAGACCAGGCAGGCTCAAGGATCCCTTCCAGCTTTAAGGGGAGCGAGGCTCATGTTCCCGTGTCCTAGCTACCCTTCCGTAGAATGGGAGAAGCAGCAATGGCAAAGGGGGCATGAGCATTCTAGAGTCTTGTCCTCGGCAAGGTTGGTAAGCAGGTGTCAGAGACACCCACAGGGCCACTTCTCCCACTGAGTAAGGAGCAGATACTAAAGGAACATGGCCACAGGGAAAGAATGCAGTGGCTTGATCACAGATCACTGTAGGCTTGAACTCCTGGGCTCTAGTGATCCTCCTGCCTTAGCTTCGAGTAGGTGAGACTAGAGGCGCATGCTACCATGCTTGGCAAATTTTTTTGGAGATGCAATCTTGCTATGTTGCCAGGATGTTCTCAAACTCCTGGCCTCAAGCAAATCTCCTGCCTCCCAAATTGCTGGGATGATAGGCGAGGGTCCTTGTCCACAGCTCCAGACAATCCCCCTACTGATTGCATCAAACACAGCACGGCAACTGCTGCCCATTGATTAGAACATTTATTTCTCAGAGAGAAAATAAGTTTCAGACAGTCATATTATAGTAGGTAAATTTAACTTTTGTATTCTTTACAAGCATAGATTTTTCTCTGTTTATTACCTCTCTTATACCATCTGTTATAAACAATTCTAGAAAGCAAATAAAGTCACTTTCTACAATAAATAGAGCATCATGTGCTTCACAGCAGACGCGACAGAGACACGTAGGCCCCATGCCACAGCAGGATCTGAGCCGTTTCCCGTTCCTAAAGAGCATTTTAAAAAATGAGACTCAGAGAGACTGGAAGATTCAGAGACTGAAAAATAGAGAGACTAAGAAGAAAGTGTTGGGGGAAGAAAGAGACAGACATAGAAAGAGAGAGGGAGAAAGCCCCAAGATCTTACAACACAGGTTTAGACGAAGGTCACAGAGTCCACAGCTGACCAACTACCCGGGGAGAGGGGAAGCATTGGCTCCTTTAAATAAACCACACTGTGTGGCCACAAATGGAGGACTCCAATCATGGAAACTATAGGCCTGAATAATTTAGAACAGTATTTTACAATTATATACACCATGTCCTTCCCTAGCCATATGCTGTATTGTTTTTATTATTGTACAAAATCTAAAACCCCATCCTTTAAGTTATAGTGTTTTGTTGGTTCCCTTTTAAACTCTGGCTCGTGTCCCAAATGTATAAGAAGTTGTGGTGGTTGGTTGGTTGTAGTTTTAAAAAGTCAAGTGTGTAAAAATGGCAGTGATCTCCCCAGTGACTTTGCCCAAAACTCCCCTATGAAAAATTTAAAGCAATTAAGAAGAACATTAGGTTAAAAATCAACATGGCGATCAGTGGCCTGCAACCTGGCCCTGCAACTTTGGTGCTTAGGAGGTGAAAAGAAACATCCAGAGAATAGACACTGAAGTCTCTGAAAGTTGTGTTGGCTTGTCAGTCAACATTCCCCATTCACAGTTTTTTTTCCCTTCCATTTTTGAGAAGGTGAAGGTGGGGAGAGGGTTGAAAAGAGGGAAGGAGATGGAAGGTTTGAAATAAAAGTGTTGCATTCCCTGGAGTTGGGAGTGGAAGCGGCAGGGCAGGACAGGGTGCAGGCCAGGAAGGTGTCGGGCAGGCATCGTGCCGTCCAGGTAGTGGCAGTGAGGCTTAAGATTGCAGATGCCGAAAAAGTTCTCAAGAAGTGAAGGGGAGAAGGAAGGGAAGGGGAGAAGGAAGGGAAGGGGAGCGGAGGGGAGGAGAGGGAGAGGTCCAGTGGAAGGGCACGGCGCCACCTCAATCATCCTCATCATCCAGGACGACAGATGAACACTTACACACCCAGCCTAGCCTGCTGACAGGAACCCACCACCTGCAGTACAGGGAAAAGGAAGGAGGGGTCACGCCTTGGTCCAGGGGGCACATGAGCACGGCTGGGCCTCAGTTGTGTCGACAGAAGAAAGGAAGGTCTGCAGGCATGGGGAGGTGCTCTGGAGGAGGGGTCACCTCGTGCTGGGTTGGCCTCTATCTGGGCCCTGAGGAGCCTGGTGGAGACACCCACCTGGAACAGCAGCTGGCCTCAAGGGGAATGAGACATTAAAGAAAAAGACCAGTGTGGTGATGGTTCCTGTCAGTTTGGCACAAGAGAAAAAGTAAGAGAAGGAACATGGGAAAGAGAAGGTGAGACTGAGCATGGGTACAAAGATGGGACAGGGAAAAGGTGTGAGAATGGGTGACGAGGGGGAGAGAGGATGATCTTGGGGAGATTCCCCTTGGGACCCTGGCATACCCACAGCATCTCTGGGATCAGTGTCAGAACCTCACCCGCCCTGAGGTGTAGTTAGTGGGAGTGGGATGGAGGGGCCAGGCAGTCCAGGTCCATTGCTGTGGCTGGGCCCAAGCCCCACAGCTGTTTCTACTTCTAACTGGTTCTTCAGTGGAATATCCCCTGAGGGACGTTGGGTGGGAGTTTTTGGCACACAGTAGGCCAGCCAGGGGAACCATGCAATTGGTCAAATCTGGGGCCTTGCCCTTGGTGGGGACACAGCCCAGTCCCTGGCCTGCCATGAGAAGGGAAGCTGCCAACCATACATCTGGCAGGGGCAGAAGAGGCTTCTCTGTGCCCCATTGGACGGAGGCAGGGCATGCAGGTGCAGGCCCAGCCCCGCCCTTACAGGTAGCTGGAGGTGACGAAGGAGTGGGGCCCCCGGACCCGGCTTAGGTGGATCATTGCACGGTCGTAGGCCACCTGCACTGACTTGCGGATGCTAGTCTTGCGGCCTTCCAGCATTTTGAGCTTGTCCACGGTGTCTTCCACACCCAGGGGCAAGACTTTGTCCCTTGGAAGCCACTGCCTGAAATGCAAACACAGTAAAAGCCTGGGCTGTGACAGGTCCCACAAGGGCCTCCTCTGGGCCCACCAGCCTAGGACCAGCAAGACTACAGGAAGAGGACAGGACAGAGAGAGGTAGATTGGGACACTCCATGCAGGAGGCAAAGAAGAACCTGACAGGTCAAGGCAGCAAGCAGGGTGTGCAAGGGCAGAGGGATGGCAAGGGACCCATTTTGCAGCTAGGTCCTTCACTGTGCCATCACTCTGCTTAGAGGGTTGTTATGGCCCATGAGCTGAGAGAGATCCATATGCTGCACTCTGGGATTGGCTGAGTCACTCTGGAGGGCTCTGAGTTTCACCCCGCCTTGTGAAATTAGGGAGCTATGGCTAGAAAGACAGCAGATGCCAGGAACTAACGTACACATCTCTGGCAGGACCTGCACCTTGTGTGTGTTAAAGCTTCCCAGTGAATCTAACGTGGGCTAAGAGCACAGCCTCTGGAGCAAGATCTTGGGTTTGTACTCCAGTTCTGGCTATGAGGTCTTGGCGTTCTGAGCCTCAGCTTCCTCATCTGCAAAATGCACTTGGAGGGGATTAATGAAGATTTAAACGAGGATTAAATGAGATCAGGTACGTAGCAGTTGTTACTATTTTTACTAGCTAGTCCTACCTCCTCATTCTGTAGAAGCAGAGGTGAAAGCACTTTCCTGCTGGTGCTCAGAGAAACCTTCAGATGTTGTAAACCACGAGTGAGCAAGGCCCTTGTAGTGGAAACCAGAGCCCCCTCGGGATTGAGATACACTTCCCCACAGCTATAGGGAGTGCTGTCAGGGACAGGCTCTCAGCTGAGTCCCTCTCCAGGAGTCACCCTTTACCAAGGAGGCTGCCTGGCCCAAGGTCAAGCCTCTCCCCCAGGGCAGTGGTATTCAATGACTAGTTGGTGCAGCAGTACAAATGCACAACTCCAATTCCAGACATCTCTACCAAGCCACGTGGCTTCAGATCTCCCCAGAGGATGAGCTGAGGCCTCTGTTGCAAGCACACCACAGTTCAACTGCCGCCCGGTGATGCATCATTCACCCTCATCACCCTCCCCAGTAAGACTCCTGATGTAAATCTCCATTTCAGAGTGTTCCCCAGGAAATCCGACATGTAACACCTCTCAGTTACTATTAATTAGTGTTATTAGTAACACTAAGTTACTACTAACACAGCAAGTGTGGGCCAGTTGGGGGCAGGTAATGCCTCCTCCTTCACTTGGGCAGAGTCCCAAGGTGACTGCATCCATGGACCTTCTGTGTACCTCATTAACACAGAAGCACTGGCACAGCCCCCGCATATCCTCATTGCCCCCACAACAGCCCTCACTAACCAGGTGCGCTTGTTGTCAAAGAAGAGGACAAGGAAGAGCTTCTCTCCAGCCTCTGCCTGTTTCTGCTCTCCCAGTTTCAGCACGTCCAGCGGGGGGACAGGGATGGGAACGCCATTGTGCAGGAGGCCCTCCCGGGGCATCTTGGGATCGATGATCTAGAGGCAGAATGGAAGATGGGCACTTAGTAGGAGAGTACAGGGTGAGCAGGGCCTCCTGCCACAGGACCAACTGCTGAAGTACCACACACCAAAGCCAAGCAAGGGCTTAGCCCTGCCCACGACCAAGAGACGGAGAGGCTAGCCTCTTTTGTGACTCACCCCCCAGAGCCCCAAAATGAAAATTCTTTCTTTCTCCAGTTCACTGTCCTAATCTCCTGGTCCTGTCCAACCAGTCCTTCTGAGAGGGAACTTCTTCCATGGACTATCAGGCTGAAACAATAGTGGGAAGCCAATGTGGGGAGTGTCGGGCCTGAGTGAGATATCTTTTTTTTTGAGTTGGAGTCTCACTCTGTCGCCCAGACTGGAGTGCAGTGGCCGCTCCTGGCCACCGCAGCCTCGACCTACTGGGCTCTGGCGATCCTTCCGCCTCAGCCTTCCAAGTAGCCGGAATTACAGGCATGCGCTAACACACCCGGCTGATTTTTTGATTTATTGTAGAGATGAGGTCTCGTTGCCCAGGCGGGTCTCGAACCCGTGGGCTCAGGCAATCCACTCACCTCAGCCTCCCAAAGGCGCAGGATTACAGGCTGAGCCACCGAGCCCGGCTGAGATATCTTTGATATCCAGGGCAGACAGACAAACCCCCTTCCTCCCAATGTCCTTTAGGGGAGAAAAGTGGAGGTTATTTTTTTTTTCCTATAAATTTCTCTTTAGAACTTATGATTCACCACGAATGTTCAGGAACCTTCCTTGGGTACCTTGGCTATGAAGAAGGTTCTGCATCACGAGGGTTGCCCCTTTGGTTCTTTCTATGGGGCCCCTGGTACATCCTGACGTGTGGACCAGATTTGTCTGTGACATTCCATGGTAAGATAAGTGTATAGCACTTAAAGGGTCGATGGAAAGGGGGAATGATGTGGTTGGAAACAAGGGCCACGGGAAGCATTAATCCTTGAAAGGGAAAGCTCCTAAGGGCAGTAGCTGAGCCCCTCTCATTCAGGTTCAATTCTGATATCCAGCCCCACCCTGCCCAGTTCAGAGCAGGTGCTCAGCAAAATGCCTAGTGGCTTCAAACAACAATAATCCTCTAGGTCTTGGCCTGATGTGGTGGCTCACCCCTGTAATCCCAGCACTTTGGGAAGCCAAGGCAGGAGGATCGCTTGAGACCAGGGGTTCAAGACCAGCTTGGGTAACATAGCAAGACCTCATCTCTAAATAATAATAATTACCCAGGTCTATGAAGCGTTTTCAACATTTCCAAAGCTCCTAATTATTCACACCATCTCATTTCAATCTCTTGCTGACGCTGAGAAGTCTGCTGACAGGTATTTGCTGATTAGCTGACAGAGGAAAATGCCAAGCACAAGAGTATGCTGGGACTAGAATGAGACACATGGACGAGGCTTGGGCCTCTGCAGCCCACTGCCTCCTACACAGTCCCTGCTTCCGGATCGGATGCTAATATATCAGTGCACAAAGGCCAGAGAGACTTGGAAACTTACTGGGGAAGCAGCCTTCTCCAGAGATGGAGCAATCTTAATTCCTATACCCTGTCCCAGTGGGCTCCTTCTCATAATAAAATGCTCTCATTATTTACCTTTGGGTATCTGCCAGGTTCCCTACATTTCTCTCCAGATGAGCAGCTGCAAGCAGGTGTTCTGGCTAGGAGTTGACTCTAAGGAAGAACCACCCCTACCCCACCCCTTTTATCTCTCAGCCTGTCTGTCCCTCCTGGGATTGAAGCTAGGGGTCTTAATGAGAGCTACCATACAAGCCCTCCTAAGCTTCCTTCATTACCAAAAGAGACAGCAGTGCTACTCTGATCTGTTTCCTTTTTTTTTTTTCCAGAAGGCACAGATTTTATTTAGAAATAGAAAGGACTTTGCAAAGAAATATTAAAATAAATTGTGAGGGCCATAATGTACGTTCCAGTTCACATGAGCTTGTTGTTTTAAGTTCCAAGAGATGCAATTCTGCCCCCTCTTAAAGTCATTAAGGTCCTGGGTTCTGTACTTATGCAAACTTTATGTAAAAGAACATGAGAAGCTCTCTAACTTCATATCCTCTTACTGTATTACTTAGCCTTGACTCCCGCAGCAACATTCACCCCAACTATTTTGCATTTAATTTTGGAAAAATCCTCAAGTCTTATCTTCTCTTGTGCTGACTTCAACATCTAGGACTGTCCACAGTAAATGTTCTCCTCCACAGAGTCACACCCTCTGAACAAACATATGTGACATCCAAACTCTCTGGATAAATAAGTGTGATTCCTCATGATTCTTTTGGCAAGACTCTCTGAAGTGTCTTAGCAGGATTCCGTCACATTAAAAATGGGAGATTTGCAATCATACTTGTTCACTGGATATCTTGACCAGCACTGAGCAGATAAACAGCCCTTTCAATATTACTGAGGTCTTCATCAGCTGTCAATCTTTCTATTTCTTCTCGTGTCTTGAGGCTGTAATGGACAGGCCTCTTGATGATAGCGAGCTCCTACAGGTCCTCTATATAGCCAAACAGGCTGTTCTGACTGAATTCCATAGTGGCAGCTGCAGATGTATAGATGGTCAGGCCCCTTGCTGCCAGGCTAAAGGGACCCCAAGATGCTGGATGCACTCAGCCCCACGGCCACCCACAGGTAGGATTTTTCCAGCTCTCAGGCTGGCAGGCAGTGGCAGCCCTGATCTGTTTCCTCTTGACTAAGGCCTCTGGTTTCTGCCTCAGAACCTAGGGTGTTTGTAAAAAATTTGCCCTGAGGGCAAAAGCAAGGTGCCTAAGTCTGCTGTCTGAGGAGAGCTTTTGTGTTCCAAAATAATAAACAATGGTCCATTCACTCAATGAATGTTATGCAGATGTAAGACAACATGGCAATACAGCTTGTGATAAATTTTAACATAATAAATGTGTAAACACACTATTATTACAACTAGAATATGTGAACAATAAATAGAAGAAATGATACAAAATGCTTGGAGTCAACATGTTAGAATGATGGGGTTTGTGCTGTTGTTTTTTCCTCTATCTTTCCAAAACTTCTTGCAAAAAAAAAAAAAAGTTGTCTAAAAGACAAGAGTCAACAAAAAGTAAAGATTGTATATTCACTATGGATATAGACACATACTGAAGTGCACATAGGAAAAAGCCTGGGAGAGCATAACCAAAATAAAAACACAGGTTGTAGCCGGGTGTGGTGACTCATGCCTGTAATCCCAGCACTTTGGGAGGTGGAGGCAAGAGGACTGCCTGAGCCCAGGAGTTCAAGACCAGCCTGGGAAGACCTCATCTCTACAATAAATCAAAAAATTAGCCAGGCATGGTAGCACATGCCTGTAGTTCCACCTATTTGGAAGGCTGAGATGGAAGGATTGCCTAAACCCAGCAGGTTGACGCTGCAGTAGCCTGAGCATGTCATGACACTCCAGTCTAGCCAAGAGACTCTGACTCAAAACAAATAAACAAACAAACAAACAAACAACACAGGTTGTGTTCAGGTGGTGGTTGAATTTCCTTAATCATGAGAGAAAATGTATGCTTAAGAAGATAATTCTTTAAGAAAGATTAGTTTTAGACTGGCTTCTTTGCATGATGAAGTTAAAAAAAAAAAAAAAAAACCCAAACCTGTACAGCTTAATTATATCTCTAATGACTAAGTTAAGTTTTACTGCTGGCAGGGCACACAGCCTTGTGAAGAGGGGCAGCCCCAGGCCCTAGCTCTTCAGCTGCTAGATCACAGTGTGGATTTTCCAATCCTGCCACTGCTAAGGAGTGAGTAATGTAGGTAATGTGGATTCAGTATGGCTCCAGCAAATTACAGAACCTCTTTGAGCTATTTTTCCTTATCTGACCAAACAGGATCAGAATTCTTGCCCTATTTGTCTCTCTCATCCCCTCCTTCAGCCTCTAAAATGGTGAAAAGTCCTCTTTATTTCAAGAGGCTGCTATGAGGCTTGAAAGAGTCATAGATATGAAAGTGCTCTGTAAGCCGGGCTCGGTGGCTCAGCCTGTAATCCCGTGCCTTTGGGAGGCTGAGGTGAGTGGATTGCCTGAGCCCGCGGGTTCGAGACCTGCCTGGGCAGCGAGACCTCATCTCTACAATAAATAAAAAAATCAGCCGGGCATGGTAGCACGTGCCTGTAATTCCCGCTACTTGGAAGGCTGAGGCGGAAGGATCGCCAGAGCCCAGCAGGTTGAGGCTGCGGTGGCCGGGAGCGGCCACTGCACTCCAGTCTGGGTGACAGAGTGAGACTTCAACTCAAAAAAAAAAACAAAAAAGAAAAGAAAGTGCTCTGTATATGAAAGATATACAGTCATGCATGTAAAAAGCTGGCAAGGTGTCGCCCAACCCTGGGTACAGATCATCCAGGACGTTTTTAAAAAAATATTCATGCCTGCATCTGACCTCAGAGAGTCTAATTTGGTGGTGCTAGGGTGGAGCTGACTCAGCATTCATATTGCTCAAAAAAAATAAATCACTCCTGCTCCATGATTCTGACATGCCCCAAAGGTTTATTATCAGTGGTATCTTACAGAACCAGGTGGACATTACCTCCCCAACTGAGAAAGAGATCTAGGAAATAACAATCAAGATGGTAAAAAACAAAATTTTTAGTTACTGTTACTGTGAAAGAAATGTAAATTTTAGCTACTGCTGGTGGGAGTATAAACCAAAACTAACTTCTGGCAACCTGTATCAGAATTTTGTATAGACTTTGTCCCAAGAAGGTACACCTAAGAATTCACTGTAGAGGAACAATCATGGATGTACACAAAGGTAAAACTACCATGAAGTTTATTGCCAACTGTTTATCATAGTGAAAAATTCAAAACGGTCTAAATGACCAATAAGGGAAGGATTAAAATATGGTACATGCATATAACTGAAGACGATGCAGTCATTAAAAGTGATGTTGACAAAGAATGTTTAATGGCATAAGATGTGCATGTTCATGATATGCTATTAAGTGGAGGGAGGTTAAAACAGTATGGTCTCATATATATGCATATTTATGCATCATTAAAAAAGGCTGAGTGGATATACACCAAGCTATCCCTGAAGAGACGGGACTGTGGATGATTTTGAACTCAGTGGCTCAAAACACAGGCTTTGACATCACCCATTTTAAGTCCTGGGCTCAAATTCCATCCCTGACACTTACTAGCTAGATGACCACTGGTAACGAAGCATCAGTTTTCTTTCTGACAAATGGAATAACCACACCTTCCTCAGTATTTCAAGGACATAGTGTGACAACTGTTTAATAAAACATCCAAGCATTATTAATAGCTTTAAAAGTCTCTACAATAGGCACTATTATTTTTATGCATAAGCAACTAAATAAATGCTACCAAAACCCTAAAAGCCCTAGCCTTGGCCTGTATACTTTTAGCCTATTTTAAGCTGCCCCAAGCTGAGAGCCTTGCTCGCTTGACACACTCAGGCTAGGGTAAAACACCCTCTTCCCTTCTGCAGCTGAAGGCACCCTGACTCCCACCACACTCTGCTGGCTTGATCCAATCAGATAAGCCCCCAAGGCAAGGCAGGGGCCAGAACCATCCAGGGGAGGTAGGAGGGTGGCGTCTGGGGCAGACTCACCAAGGCAGGGTAGGAGGGGTAGCCTCGGCACTTGGCCCACACCAGCTCCAGGGGCTCCAGGTCTCCGCGGTCTTCAAAGGGCATCAGGAGGCTTCTGCCTGGGGGTGGGGGAGGGGAGGAGACAGTGCCCAAAGGGGACTTGGAATGGTGCCCAGAAGGCCTGCCTGTGGCCTCCATCTGAATGGGGCAGCCCAGAAATGAGTCCGTAACATCCCCACCACCCTTCCTTTTCTCTACCCTTTCCTAAGGAGATGTTCTTAGCCTGTATCAGGAGTCGGCAAACTGTAAATGGTTTAGCTTTCAGGGTAACATGGTCTGCTGCAACTATTTAACTCTGCTGCTATAGCATGAAAGCAGTTACACACAAATCTATAAATAAATGAGTGTGGCTATGACCCAATAAAACCTTATTTTCTGGATACTGAAATTTGAATTTCATGTAATTTTTACATATTATGAAATATCATTCTTCTTTTGATTTTCTTTTTAGACATTTACAAGTATAAAAACCATTCTTAGCTCATGGGCCAAACAAAAACAGGCAGCAGGCCATAGTTTACCGACCTCTGAACTAGAATCCTAAGATGTCTTTCCCTGGAAAAATGTAACTGCTTCATCCCCAGGACCTCAGGGAGAAGGTTCACATCCCAGCTTGGGAAATGCCATATACTGGTCTTTGGACCTCCCGAGTGGGGAGTCCTCATGACGGAGGCTTCATGGAGAAAGATGCTTGAAAGGACACCCCAGTAGAACCACTTGCTAAGTGAGTTCTTTCCTGACAGGGCCACACCTTGCCATCTACGTCCCTGGATGCACAGCACTCAGCAGAGCCAAGCAGGTCTGCAAGGCTTTCATATGCCTGCTTTTGACAGGACCTTATTCTGGGTGTCCTCCGGGGCATGCATCACATCTCATCTTACTTTGTCCTACACTCAGTGCACTAGCACATGTGAATGGGTGCTTTATAGATGCTTCTGAACACACAGAAGAACCTCTCTTTTCCTTCCCACATCTCTAAACTGGAAAGGGGAGGTGACCACACTCTACCAAGGAAAAGGTCAAAATCTAACAAAGCGGAAACTATATTTCTAATGAAAAATAGTATATAAAGTTTCTACAATAGGCACTATTAGATGTATTAAAAAAAATAAGGTACCATTTTGTATCTACTGAGTCAACAGCAATAATTTTTAAAAAGATAAAATTCAATACTAAAGAGGCAGACTGAGTGGAAACTGGTGCAATCATATACTGCTGATGAAATTGCAGACCAATCCAATCCTCACGGAACGTAATTTGGCAGTATGTCTCAAGAGCCATTAAGAAAAATTTGAACCACTTGTTCCAGTAAATTCCTTCCCTGGTAATTTGTTCTAAGAAAAGTAACTTTAAAATGAATAGAAGGATTTTTGAACAAAAATATGGGTTCACTAAATTATGTATAATGTTAAAAGTTGTAAACAACCCAACTGCCTAGTAGAATGGTTAAATAAATTATACTACATTGATTGTTAGATAGATTGTTCTAATAATATGAGATATATAAAGATTATGTGTCAACATGAAAAAAGTATGAGATAACACTGAGAAAAGTAAAATACAAAAGTACATGTGTTTTGGATTAGCATTTTGTTAAGAATGTGCCTAAAATAAACAGAAGGCAACACAGAAAAATGAAGACAATTGTGTTACAGTGATGGAACTATGGGAGGCCAATTTCCTTTAGCATCATTTTAATAAGTATGCAATTTTTAAAGTAAGAATAAAATGTCACCAGAAGCACAAAGTATGCCAATCCACTCCTGGTTTTGTGTAAGATGCTGTACAAATTCATCTGGACATGAGCCCTGCCTTCTGGGCATTGACAGTTACAGAAAGCAATGAAACACACAGACATGCATTCATCAACACACATACGAGAAAGAAACTGATGCTAAGGGAAAACAAAGCAGCTGGGAAAAGAAAAGGGGAAGAGAAGTCCTGTAGCCTTGTGTTAGATAGAAACTTCAAAGACAGGGCATCCATAGAGTGGACACCCCTCCATGGCAGGGATGGACGGGGTGGGCTCAGAAAACAGCCCACTCTGTACCTGCCCCAACTGAGCACCACCCCAGACCTTTCCTCTTGGTCCTACCCTGCCCTTTATTCCCTTGGTCCAAGAAGACAAGGCCCATAAAACTACAGGTTATACATGAGACTCAGTGATACAGGCTATTACTGATTACTCTAGCAAATGCAGACAAGCAATACCCACCAAAATTACAAACACACACTTCTTTCAATTCAGCGATTCCACTTCTATAGATATAGAATGATCTATGCACAAGGTTGCTTACTGTAGCACTGATTTAATAAATAAGTGAAAACAATCTAAATGTCCATTTTTAGAGGGCTGACTAAGCAAATGATGGCACTCCTATATAACGAGACACTAGGCAACCAACAGAACAATCTCCAGAAAATGTTAACTGGAAAAAAGGAATGGTTTAGAGGAACATGTGCATATTAGGCTTCTCTACTCACTCTCTTAAATATGCATGTATGTTTTGGCTTGTATATATATGGATTACCTCTGGAAAGACATAAAAGAAACTGCTAACAGTGGGTATTCCAGGAAGGGGAGTGCTGGCTTTCATTATATACCCTTTGTACCGTTTTTATTTTTATTACCATGGGTATGTATAGCCTATGCCAATTTAGGATGAATTTGAAAAATAAAAAGTACAAATAGCCTAGGAATGAGGGCCATCTCCCTGCCCAGGGCCTCGAAGGCCTTGCCGCCTCAGCTCAGTCTGGACACCACTCCTCACCTGAGCCACTGTAGTCAGAGTCTCCATTCACACCTTCCAGAAAGGGCACTCGAGACAGGGCTGGCTTCCCACGGCTGCGTTTAGGGGGGGTCAGATCGCTGCACACAGACCAAGGAAAGAGGGGTGAAATGAGCAATTTCAGTAATGAACATGCCCACGCCCCTTCTCCTTTTTCTCACAGAAGCAGAGCTGCAGAAACTTTCAGGGAGGATGGTTTCTTACCTTCCCCTAAAAACTAACAATAACCCATGACACATTTTTGACTAAAAAGTTCTCACGTGGCTTTGAGGAACAATTTCACCCGCATGGAAGGACCAAATCTGGAAGGAGATGCCCATTTCCCTGCCCAGGAACTGTGGACTTCATCTGGAGGAAAGGTCACCCCAGTCACTTGTCAATCCTTCCAGAGTCCAAGTAGACTTATCAAGAGGAGGGGCCATCTCACATCTGCCCAGAATTCTTTACTCTGTCACATTGCTTCTTCTTTAGAAACCAATTTATTTTTGAGATACAAAAATTTGCCTCTTTCCCAAATTTTCTACAATGGGCATGTCATACATCCTTAATTAGAAAAGACATTTTTAAATTGGAAAAAAAAAAACCCTACATCTCACTTCCAAATGGTTTATGTGTGAAGTTTTTCTTGGATAGAGAGAGGTGGATTTTTTTTAACTAGAAAGTAGACCAATTTATTTTTTCATGGCTACAGCAAACAAATTAAAAAACATATATAAATATATCAACAACTAGAAAGCAGTAGGCAAAAATGAGAAAAGCAATACCAGAGAAATGGTATAACTGAGGCTCACCCAGGCATTTGTATTTTTAAATAGCTCCCCATGCAATTCTAATGTACAACCACACTTGGGAGCCTCTGGGCAAAAATGTGGCTAGGGCTTTTTTCCATACAAACTTTAATAAATATTACTGCTATGTAATTTTTTCAACTAAAAAATACTTAAAAGATAGGTCAACAATCTGCAGAAAAGTAGAAATGCTTGAGAAACCCTTAGTGGGATAAGAAGCAACTAGAGGTAGGACTGGCTGGAGAGTAGGGTACTCCTGTTTTACTGAGTCAGAACTGACTTTACAATAACCCCATACTGAGAAAACTTTGCTGAACCAAAACCCAATGAATCATAATCCTTCAGTAACCAGTAGTTAAGTTGGTAGTTTTTCTTCTAGTCAAAATTAGAAGCTGTTTGAGGAAAAAAACCAAAAAATATTCAGTTCACATTTAGGATTCAGTTCCCACTTACCTATAAAAAAATCTGTCAACAGGACTAAAGACTCTGAGGTCTTATACAAAACGTACTGTGCCAGTAATTTTATTAGGAAAGTCTCTCAATGTTCACATCATGAATCTGGGGAGACATCTTCAAAATAACAGAAGAGTACAGCAAAGTGGTTAAGAAATTAAACTCTGGAGCCAGTCTATCTGGGTTCAAACCGCTCTCCTCATGATTTCTGCAACCTTGAACAAGTTATTTAACATCTCTGAGGCTTGTGTTCCCTATGTGTTATTGTGAGGATTAGTGCATGTGCTCAATAAATGGCAGGTGTTATCATCATATGAAGGGCAATAAAATTTAACGTCTTACTGAAAGTATTACAAACTACTAATGTTCTGAGAATGAGCTCAATAAAGTAGGATGAAATACCAAAACTATCTAGTAAGTGACCACTAAAGATAAAACAATAAAAAAAAAAAAAGAAATACCAAAACTACATCTGTGTATTCCTGATTTGCAGAATATGAGTTCTGAGAATGAGCTCAATAAAGTAGGATGAAATACCAAAACTATCTAGTAAATGACCACTGAAGATAAAACAATAAAAAATAAAAAGAAATATCAAAACTAGGTCTGTGTATTCCTGATTTGCACAAAAAAGCACAACTAACTCAACCATTGTCTACATTGCAGCTCGCTCTCCAAGTTACCCAGGCCTAAAGCAGACAACCCAAGCTATAAGTATCTTGTTTACTGGTTTTAACATTCATCTCCCCTTCTAGAAGATGAGCGCCATGAGAACGGACACCTTAGTGCTCAGAACAGTGTCTGGCATGCAGTAGGTGGTAAATGATCAATAGCTGAATGAGTGATCTATGGAAAGCGGGTATGGCCCCAACCTGTTCAGAAAATCATCAGAAAAGATAAACCAAGGGGCAGGTGAGGAAGGGGGGTTAGGGGATGGGTTAGGGATCAGTTCTTTCTATTTCTGGGATTATATAATTCCAGTTTAATAAATAAGATCTTCCTTTAGGTACTTACTACTACAGTGAAGGGGAAGAAAAGACAGAAAAAGAAAAAATCCTGCAGTTGCAGCCCTTGAATTTCCTATTTTAAACCCTGAAATTCCACTGAGAACCACTAAATTGAAGAGGAAATGCCTTCCAAGGGCATTGTTCCTACATCAAGAGGGGCCCCAGAGAAATCAATGGCCTTGGACTGGAGTTCTGCAAAAGGCAAACACACCACCTGAGTCAGTAAGTTAACCAACCACACTTGCTTCTTATGGCTCACAGCTGGGAAAAGTGCCCTTCACAGCAGAAGAGACCAACACACCTTCCACCTTTAGTCAAGGGCTAGAAGGAGATAGTTTGATGACCCCACTCCCACCCTAACCTTAATGTATTGGGCTTCCAGACACCTCATCTTTTTCAACCTGGGATCAGGCTAGAAGTATTTTGTAAGATTCTGAAAACTCTCTTGCTCTCTCTTCCTTGTGCCTGGTAACTGTTTTTCCCATCTATTCTCCCTGTGTCTCTGGATACTGCAGCAGGGAGGGAGAAAGCTAGGACAACTTTGAGGTTTGCTAGGGAGGAAAAGCTTAAAAAATAACACCACAGCAGGGAATCAGTCCAGGGCCAAGGGGTGGCTGAGAAACCCCCCCCCCCCCCCCCCCTAACCCCACCAGGAGGCTCACAGCCTGGGGAAAGAAAGTGTGAGAGAACACCCACCCAACCTGCCTTGGAAGTGTTTCAAACACAGAGTCTTTTGGTGTTATGCTGGGAACTTTTCTTCACTACTCTAAACCTAGAATCCATTCAGCAGCCTTGTAGTGGGGCCACGATGTCAGCCTTCAGGACAAGTCACTTTTCCTTTGTGGCATTGAGGGTTTCTCACTTCCAAGTCTCACTCTCTCTGGTGTCTTGCAGAACACAGAACACAGAGCAGGGGCACATGCACTCTTGGACTTGGAAGAAACTTTAAGGTTCTGTCCTGGTCTCAGAAATTCTCTCTTCAGGTAAAAGAACGGAAAAAGAAACCCATCCCTTTTCAGCTCAAGGATGGTAGAAGAACTGAGGTCTTTGGTTGAATAAAAGACAATTTCACACTTCCTACCTGCTCATCTCTTTCTCTTTTTTTGTAGAGACAGGGTCTCACTATGTTGTCCAGGTTGGTCTTAAACTTCTGGCCTCAAGCAATCCTCCTGCCTCAGCCTCCCAAAGTGCTGGGATTACAGGCATGAGTCACCATGCCCAGCTAGCCTACTGGTTCATTTCTTATTCTCACACTACATGTCTACAAAGAGGCCACCGCTATGATGCCTCAAAAAGCAAAGGGCAAAATCATGTCTGTCACAAGCTGATTATCTAAGCATGTGTGTGGGAGCTGCAGGGGATATTGGTTTAAATGTTAATTTCACTGGGCCAACAGGATATTCAGCTCTCCCCACTCAGGAGCCCAAATCCAGCCCCACAAACCTTATAAAGCATCAGTACCACTCCACCCCTTCTAGTCCCCTCTTAAACCTGAGAGTCAAGGGTCACCCTGTCTCCTAGGCGTTCCCAGAATTACAGACCAGAGGCCTCAGGAAATTGGGGTGGAGAAGAAACAGATAAGCAGGAAGAAGTTCAATATGCCACTGAAGACAGAACAAAGAAAAACAGGTAGCAAAGCTGCTGACAAAACTTCGGGGACAAGTGCTCTTACCTGCAAGCTTCAAATGCCAGGCCACCACTGAGACCCAAGCTACATTCCGAGTCAGACCCGCTTTCGGTGTGTTTTCCAAAGCCGTTGGTCATGCCTGCCAAGGACACAAAGAGTAAGCCTGAGTGCAGAGACCCCCTTCCCCTGACACATGCTGCAGTGTGAGGCAGCTGCCTTGGGAGGGCTCAGTGGGAAGTGAAGAGGATGGCTGTTCTTCCCCTGTGAGAAATGGGTCTAGAGTGGTAGAGAGAACCTGACAAAGACAAAGGTTTGGGGAGATATATTTTTGGCTGGGGCAAGAAGCAGACACTACATTTCCTTCCCATTCTGTTTTTACTTTAAGGAAAACAGCACACAGCTTACTCAGCTACCGTCATTTGGCTACAAGGGGGAATACTAAGACATTCCCACTCTGGCTAGCTCACAGTCCCTGGATCTGCTTCTAATTTCAAACTCCAATTATCAGGGAGTCTTTTCTGCTTCTCAAGGAGCCCACCTGTCTGGCCTCTTCAGATAAACACACAACCTATCCATCAAACAGCTGGCAACGACTAGTTTCATTCTTCAGGGATGGTGTTAAGAGAAGCTGGGGAAGGATAAGGGTTCTATGTCAACCACACCCTGAGATATCTAGCAGGACTAGTCAGAGTTCAGGATAGGGGAACTTTTTAGCAGAATTAAATAAAGTAGCCCAGAACTTCCTGGGATGGGGAGTCAGAACTCCAGGTTCTAGCCTGGGCTCTGAAACACAGGTCCCTTTGCCTTTTCTTTGAGCTCTCTTGGCCTCACCTTTTTTGAAAATAATACCTTCTTACTTGTCGAGGATGCTATTCAGTATGAATGAGAGGTCTATTTACAGCAGGGAGCCCTTCAGAGAGAAATGAAGACTGGTTATCTCAGGGATATGATCTTGCCGTGAAGGCTTCCATTCTCCGCTCTATCCAATTTCTAACCACACTCCAGAGACCTAGCACTTTGGCAGCTAAGCCAAGAGGGGTGTGGAGATGGACTAGGCACCTGATTTGAGAGCTGTAAGTTATAAACACCTTAGCCAGAAAACTGTGAGGCAAGTCACACCTGTAAGAGCAGGTATCTGAGCCAAGTTGTCTATACTGACACAGCTCTGCCTCTAACATTGTAATCTCAATTGAAATCACTGAAACCAGCTGTGTCTTAAGTGTCTCACCTCTAAAGGATCAACACCTGTTTTTGTGAGATTCGACTAAGGTTGTGTAGAGCTATTCCTGGGTGCCAGGCAGCTGGAATGGTGTGAGAGGACCAGATTCTAGCAGTATCCCCAAGCAATGGGCCCTTTCAGGCTGGATGGGCCTGATGTACAAAACTCCCAGTAGCGGGAGCTTTTATTTTTAGTGTAGTGTTCTCAGTGCTGTACAGCTAAACCAAATACAGCTGAGAGGATGACAATAATAACTGCCACCATCTACTGCTATGTATCAAGTGCTTTATATAGGTTATTTCCAATTCTTAAGAGGCCTGCAAGGTAGGTATCAGAAGCCACATACTAGAAATAAGGAAACAGGCTCAGAGAGGTTAAATAATTTCCTCCAGGCTACACAGCTGGTAAAAAGCATGGGGACTTGAACTCAGGTATGCCTGACTCTAGGTCTCAAGCTCTTGTCTCTATACCAACCTGCTACCCTAACATAGGAAAGCTTGGGTTGGATGGAAAGGTACTGGTGAAAACAAAATGTCAGGCAGGAAGAAAGAAAAACAATTGCTGGCCACACAGTCCAAAGCCACCACATAAAAGGACACAAGGGACAAAAACAGCAAAAGCCAATAGCAGCACCTCCCTGCCAAGCAAGCCAGCCTTTACTACCCCACCAGGACTTAACACTCTGACGTTCATCTCACCCATTTAGTCTCAGGAAGCCCCTCTCCAATTTGCCCCTAATAGAGACTGTCCTGCTCTATGTTCCCACACACCTGGGCCTGAGCCTGAGCCCTATCTACTCCTTTCCTTCCTGTCCTCATCTCTCAGGGCCTGCTCAGCCCAGCTCCTTCAGCTCAAATTCCTGGAACATCCCTGGCAGTGCCACCTTACCTGACACATAACCACACACTGCTCAGCACTGTGATTTCCCTGCACTCTGGGAGACCTGACTTCCCCACTGGATTGTGAACTCTTCAAGAGCTGGAACTGAGGCTGACCTATTATAGCCCCCACCCAGTGACCTCATGCTGGATGTGCATAAAGAATTCTTGAGTGATTGAGCCCCATTACCTGCCTCTGGGACCTCATCTCCTACCACTACCCCACTCCATCCCCAGCCCCCTCTGCTGCAGCCACACTGGTCCCTTGCTATTCCTCAGACATGCAGGCATGTTCCTACCTCCAGGGCCTATGCATTTACTAGTCTATCTTTTTGGAATGTTCTTCCTCTACATAAATAGCTCATACCTTCAATTCTTTCAAACTTTTTTTTTTTTTGAGTTGGAGTCTCACCATCGCCCAGGCTGGAGTGTACTGGCACTCTCATGGTCACCCCAGTGTCGACCTGCTGGGCTCTGGTTATCCTGCCACCTCAGTCTTCTCTTTCAGACTTTTATTCAAATATCTCGTCAGCAGACCACCCTGGCCACCCTCTCTAATACCATGCTAGTATTCCCTACCTCCCTTCTCTGCTTGGCTTTTCTCCAAAATATCTAATACAAGATACTATTTATTTATTTTGAGTCGGGGGTCTCACTCTGTCACCCAGGCTGGAGTAGTGGCACCATCAATCACAGCTCACCGCAGCCTTGAACTCCTGGACTCAAGCAATTCTCCTGCCTCAGCCTCCTGGACAGCTGGAACTATAGGCATGTACCACCAAGCCAGGCTAATTTTTTAATTTCTTGTACAGACAAGGTCTCACTATGTTGCCCAGGTTGGTCTTGAACTCCTGAGCTTAAGCGATCCTCCCTCTTTGGCCTCCCAAAGTACTTGGATAACAGTCATGAGCCACCATGCCTAGCCAAGATACAATTTATTCATTTGCTTTAAATGCATTTCCCCACAAAAGAGGATTTTTTTTTTGTCTGTTTTATTCATTGTTTTTTCTCCCAGTGCCAAGAATAGTGCCTGATATAAATATGTGATGAATGAACTGAAAGGAAGGCGGGAATCATTTTACCTTACACAACACTGCATCGCCCTAAGGGCCAAAGAGAGCCCCAGACACAATCTGGACCTCTGGAAATACTTGCTCAAAGCCTGTTTCCCCAGGCCACTCCTCATTTGCCAGCCCTAACTGTCAGCTATGGAGCCCTCAATGCTACTAGTGGTGTCCACAGGGGCCATCAGGGAGATGGCCAATTGGGGTAGGTGCTGGCTGGCAAGGCAAAGCAGAAAAGCAGATGAGAAGTAGCGAGAGAAGTCACAGGCAGGGTCACCTGTCTCTTCCTCCTGCTGGGGGGACCTCTCCCCTTCGCTCTCACTACCGCTTCTGCTCCTTGGCCGCTTCCGGGAGTGGCACTCATCCTCGATGCTGGCTGGAGAGGAAGGGGAGCCTGCCACACCATGGTCCTCGCCATTTTCCAGAGCCCTGTCTGGGCTCCTCTGCAGCTTAACCCCATTCTTGGCCTTCTTGAAGAGGACTGACGTGCGGCGGCCCACACCACTAACTGGGGCACCAGCAGGGGTGTCAGGGGCCATGAGGGACAGTCTGTTGATGCCATTGTCACTGAGCAGGCGTTGCAAGGGCTCAGTCCCTAGTTGCAGAGGTGATTTTTCCAAGAACTCATCTTCTTCCACCTTTCTGGGCTTTAGGAACCGGCTTGGAGGTTTGCTATCATTAATGGGTTTCAGAGTGGGGGGATCCGGGGAGGATTCTTGCTCAGACAAGGAAGGTGCAGGTCCAGTGGGCTCCAGGGTTGGCGGGGGAGGCAGTTTGGAATCATCTGTTAGAAAAAAAGAGAACCTGCTTGAACATTTTAGAAAGAGTCTACCCCTATAAGCCAGATACTGACACTGATAACCAAGGACCAAAAGTATGGACTATTATAAGACTTGAGACACATCCCAGGTCTTAGATCTGAGGCAAAGAGAAAGGAAGACTAAGTTTTACCTACACTAGTAGTTCTCAACCCTGGTTACGTATGAGAATCACCTAGGAAGTTTCTTAACCATTCCAGACCAACTGAAACCAAGTCTCTAAAGATGGAGAATTATTTGCTTAAAAATGCTAACTAAGTGAGTCTAATGAAGTGAGGGCCACAAACCATTGTTCTATACCTGAGAAAGCCACTTGCTTTACAATTCTCATTGGACTCAGTGTTTTCTCATCTATCCATCAATTTTGTTTCACATCACCCAAGTGAGAACAAGTACAGCAAGCAGAAAGAATACATTTACAGATGTGAAAAACTGAGACCAAGTAAGTTACATCAGGGGTTCCCAAACATGTCTGCTTACCTACCAACCACCTTGAAATTTTTAAAAATTGATACTTCTAAGACAAAGCCCAGACTTCCCTAACTGAATTTCTGGGATGTAAGGCTGAGGGTTGTTTTTTTCAATCCTCTGAGTGATGCTATTGTAGCTGGTCCACTGGGCATGACTCTGCATTGCTAGAGCCCAAGAGTAGGGATACAAGTGGCATGCAGACTGCCACATGGGGACTCGAGAAGTCACAAAAGACCAAAGCCCTCTGATGCCAAATGTGACCTCTCAGTCATGTCCTCATTCTCCACCAACCTAAATAAAATGGGCTATTACCTGCAGTTTGGGTCTCTACCCACCAAAGATAAATCCCAACATTTTGGACTGTATTGGTGATAAGCCCTCCCCAAGCTGTAGACTCGGATCCAAGGGCAGGTATGAGGGATATATTTCTGTCCCCAGTGAAGGGAAAGAACAGGAAGTAGCTCAGCTTATAAGGCTCCTGGGCTGTGAGAACTGCTTCTCCAGCTGTCTTTTATAGTCGAGCCTCTCTGCTTGGGTTGGATCTGGAGACTCAGCCAGCTGGGTCAAAATCATGAGGTAGCTCAAGAGCCCAGGATCCTTCCTTTTCTGCTATCTTTCCACACCCCAACTTAACCTGCTCTAAGAGCCTCTCTACATGATATAAGGTAGGCTGATATTTAACTGGTACATATAACACAGCTACATCAGTTGCAAAACACTGACATACTTCTTAATTGGCTAGTAAACAGCTGCTGGGCTCCAACACCTGAAAAGTCCCTGAACCTCCCGAAAATCCAGCAACTAAATATCCACATCAGAGGCCCGGTCCCTAGGAGTCTGCTCCAATACAACTGCCAACATCTACTCTGATGGATAAATTTTGGTCTCTACTGATCGTTAAATATTTTGACTACCATCCCTGCGTATACATGGAAGTGTGAACCTTCCACAACCTTCTGCTTGCCCAGAGGGTCAGATCTAAACTCAGGGAAGGATACTTCCACCATGAGATTTCAGCTCAACCTTTGTCCTCCCCCACTGCCCCAGCCCCCTGCCTATCTGTGACTATCTCTCACCTCTGTCCCCATCGTCTTCTGGCTCCTCCTGCAGGGCCTGCTCCAGCACAGCTGCATCCCCCCGGGGCCCTGTTGGTAGCTCCCCATTGGACACTGTCTTATTCAGTGATGGTGACTGTGGTGGTGGCGGCTGTGCCAGCTTCTGCCGAAGGGCGTTGATTTCCCGGCGTAGCAGGCGGACACGGCGGGTACGGGCCCCGCTGGACCGCATGGCACTCACCAGGTCCAGTTTCTCCAGCAGCTCCTTCAGCTGCACCTCTGGGGACAAATGGGCCCGGTTCTCTGGGATGAGGATGTTGTCCACTGCCAGGGAGAAGGGAGGACAGAAGGGGCTGAAGGACCTGCCCAGCGTAGGGCAAGGGGAAAGGGCCGAATCCTTTGGATGCAAAATACTCTCCTAGAATGCCTGGGCCAGCAGCTTCCAGTAGTATCAGTGTGGGCCTTGGCCCTGCAATACCACTACCCGGAAGGCAGTCATGAGGACAAGGTCAGAATCTGGGAAACATCTGCAAGAAGCAGTTCACAGTCACGATTATGGGCTCTGTGGAGCAGGTATGAGGCAGCTTGACAATCCCCCCAGCCTGAGTGACTGTTTGGCTGCTGCCATTGAGAAGCAGAGAGCAGGGGCACGCAAGAGTGTGGGGCTCAGTGGAAATTCTGTTTTTCTGGTTCTTCACCTGCACTCTTCTGAATGAGCCAGACCCACACCAGCACTGCACTCTCCATGCCCCAAGCTCCAATGCCAAACAGAGGGGATTCAGGAGAAGAAGACTCCTGTGAGACTTCAGCTTTTCAAACAGATAGCTAGTACCTGATTCCTCTTTTCTACGAACAAGAAGTGTTCAGTGCATTAGTTAATCTTTAACCCTTGAAACTATTCCAACGACAAGCAGATACACCTCAGTCTATGCCTACCCCCAGCTTTGCTCCTGGAGTCTATCCTATAGACCAGAGGCCCCCCCTGATTCTTGACTCTGTTCCTGAGCCTCCTCCTGGCCCCTCTCTTCCCTCCCCATCCAGGCTTCTCACCGTCTTCCCAGGAGAAGCGGTAAAAGTCTTCCAATTTGGGTGACTCGGGAAGGTGGGTGCCCCTCTCGGGGTCATAGCCGATGTTCTCTGCCTGCCGCCGGGCATGCCGTAGAATGGCCCCTCCCAGGTCTCGCAGGCGGACAGCTGCTCGGTGGAAAATTGTGTCTTTAGCATTATACTTCATGCAGTTGGTAACTATAAGGTTAAAGTCCTCCTCAAACTCCTCCAAGGTGTGGTACAGGTGGGACTCCAGCTTCCGCCTCATAGTAGAAAAATCCATTGGCTTGGATATGAATTCCAGGTAATCTGGAACCTAAACATATAAAACCTGTACAATTACAACAACCATTTACTAGCCAAACAGGCACACCCTTCACCAGTACTCTTGGTCTCCCCGTTTTCAGATTTGGCCACATCAGGTTCACTTTGAGCACCAGGGGCCTGGTCCACCCTGGTCTGCTGACCCCTTGTCATAGGCAACTCTGGGCAAGACCCCTTGCCAGATCCACTCCACAAGCCCTGATTTTGTATGCCAAGCCCCTCCTGGCCTACTCAGACCCTGTTCCAGTTCAGAAAGGGTTTACTGCTTGGGAAGTGGGGGGAACTTGCCTCACTCAAGTTGACTGGTTCAGCAAAGATGTGCGCAGGATCCTTCTCCTGGAGCAGGTCTAGTGTAGTCCTCAGTAGAACATTGAATGGCATCAGCTCCAGCTCCATGGCTGCCTGCTGGACCTTGACCTGAAGGGAAGGTGGAGAGAGATCATAATATCCCCTGCAAAAAGGCACTCAAATTTTCTGATAACTTGACTTCTATTGATCATGTAAAACAAATTTTCACAGGATATTAAGCTGACCATCATATGGGAAATTACCACCCAAGCCTCAGTCCAGGAATAATGATATCAACACCTACCATTTTATGAATGTTTCCTATGTATCAAGGACCATATGAAAACTTATAGAAATAACAATAATTATTATACAATTATAATAATTAACACTTTTATAGACCTCACTAAGTGCCAGGTAACGTTCTAAGCATTTTATGTCATATAAATAAGTATATGGGGCAGGAACAGACGAGGTATTTTACAAAGAGAAAACCAAGGCACAGAAAGACTAAGCAACTGGCCTAGTCACATAGCTTATAAGGGGTAGAGTTGGGATTCAGTCCCTTGCAGTCTGGCTCTAGAGGAGTGCTCCTGATTATTATGCAACACTGCCTCTCTACTTGTATTACCTCAATTAATCATTACAATAATCCTGAAGGAGAAATTATCACAATTTTACAAACATGGAGTCTGAGGTTTAGAGAGTATGATGAAAGTCATTAACCTAAGGTCATCTGGCTAGAAAAGAACAGGATGTAAACCCAGGTCTGACTTAGTCCAGATGTGCCTTGATGATGTAAAATGTGCCTTGAATCAGAATTTCCCATGCAGTGTGCTGAGATAGTGATCTCATTAGCCCTTAGAGCATCTGGATCAGCCTGGGTTGACCAAGGCCTCCAGGCTTATTCCTCAAATGGCAAGCAGCCTCATATACATTTGTATATTTTTTGTATGCTGTAGAAATGTTATTTTCTATATGTGCCCTAATATGAAGAGGTTGGGAAGCCACAAATTAGACTATGAAAAGTTCCTGTCTCTTGGCTATATTAAAATAGGCCTGCCTGCTTCCCCAGGACCAGAGCCTCCTCCTCTCTCTTATTTCTCTAAACCAGAGGTGGAAAGAAAAGTTCAGCTATGAGACCAAGCCTGGGATCACACATAGTTTGAATCCATGAAGGTCCCGAGATGTCCTCCATGGCCAACCATGGCAAGTATGGCATGAGTTGCCCAGGCTTCAAGGTGGAAACTCAGACTAATGACCTGCTAGAGCAGAGTTTGTGCTAGGGCTGAGCAGTGAAGTAGGGTTTGGAGAAAGAAAGAATGGAGTATCTTTTTTTTTGATAGAGTCTCACTCTATCATCCAGGCTGAAGTACAGTGGCATGATCAAGGCTCACTGCAGCCTCAAGTTCCTGGGTTCAAGCAATAGGCCCTCCTTAGACCCCTGAGCATCTGGGACTACAGGCACACACCAGCACAATTTTTAAATTTTCTGTAGCGATAAGGTCTTGCTATGTTGCCCAGGCTGGTTTCAAACTCCTGGCTCAAGCAATCCTCCCGCCTTGGCCTTCTAAAGTGCTGGGATTACAGGTGTTAGCCACTGCACCCAGTTAGGAACATCTTTAATGCAGGCCTCTGAAGCATGTAATAGCTGCTATTCCTAAACCAGAGAATAGCTTTGGCTTGTCATCCATTCAATTAATAGTATTTGCTCTCTGTCACATGCAGTAGACACTTCAGGGAAGCAAAGAATACCAATAATGATAATAATGATAGCAGTTGATACTTCTATATCTCTTACTGTGTGTGTTCTGAGCTTTATAACTATACTAAGTCATCTAATTCTCACAACAGCCTCACGATGCAGGCTTTATTATTACCCCCATTATTACAGGTGAGAAAGCTGAGGTATTAAGAAATTAAGCAAGTTGCTTAATGTCACACAGGTGGTGAGTAGCAGAGCCAGGCAGTCTGGTGCCTCATGTTCCTAAACCACTACGCTACCTATCTTAACATTTTCCATGCTCAGAGGCTTAGAATCTCCTTAAACAAATAACTGAAAAATTCATATGATTCAAGACCACAGGTAAATACTACCCTCAGACAGAGGCTCCCAGGCCAGAGGCTCCTAACTGGTGATGTCTATTAGAATGGCCTGAGAAGATTTTCAAAATCTTCAAGAATAGGCTCCCCCTGAGACCCTGAATCAAGCTCCAGTTTTGGGCTCAGGCATATGATATTAAACTTATGTTTGAAGACCTCAGGAGCTGAAACCCAAAATGTAGAAATCATCAGTAGCATCATACGTAACAGAGTAGGCAGACCTTAGAGCCCCCAGTGCTGGGTAGGAAGGGGAGAAAGAAAGCTGGCATTAAGCAGGGTCTTCTGGGTTTCCTAATGCCAGCAAACAATGGGAGAAAGAGATCTCAAATTAGGGCCGTATGGCTAGGGGTTTCTCCTTACCTGCTCCCGCTTGAGCTTCTCTCTCTTCCGAATTAGCTCAATCAGCAGCCGCGCCCGCTCCAAATCATGCCGCAGCTTCTGCCAATATTTCAGCTCTTCCTTCACTGCACTTGTCTTCTCGTCCTGCTCTCGCTACGAGAGGGAAGAGAAGGACAGGCTAGGAACCTCCTTCCTGCCCAAAGTCCTCTCCATATCCAAGCTTCATACAACTTCGACAGGTAAAAGTCCTGTCTGCTTCCTTGATCCACAATCCCAAGGACCCTTCCACTCCTCTCCACCCCATGCCTTCCTCCTGGGCTTCCCTGGTCTTATAACAATGTCTGTTCATTGCAGCACAATAACCATTCCTGGAGTGAGATCTGCTATCCCCTACTCCCAGAGAGCAACTATGGCTCTCAGGCTGGAAAAAAAACAACACAAGGAAATTAATGGATACCTCAGGGATAGAAATAATTTTACCCTAGAGCTTTGACTGGGCTAGAAAACAATGTGAAGTTCTTACTATAAGCTTGAACATACTTTGATAGAACAATAAAAAATCATGATTCCTGCTCTAAAAGAGCTTACAGTTGTAGCTGGTGAAAGGGAGAAATCAGGGTTTGAAGCACAAGGGCATATTAGCATAAAGACAATATAAACTGAACATAAAATGCTGAGAGGATACAAAATAGAGAGAAGATCTGAGTAGGTGAGTAGAAGGCTTCCTAGGGAAGCAATCTCAATGGAGTTTCACATACAGTGATGGACACGGATAAGTCAAGCAGTAAGGAAGGCCTCTTCTGGAATCAAAGGGACCAGAGGGGCAGAAATGTGGAGGAAGAATTAGTGATTCTTTGCTTGGTGAGCAAAATAAGCTAGCCAAAGCAGAGAAACTGGAGAACCACAAAAGCCAAGGAAGATTCAGGATCCAGCTAATAAAATGCTTCAAATGCTAGGCAAAAGAGCTAGACTTGGCCTGCCTGGAGAGGGGAGTATATTCTGGAAAAGGAAGTGGCAGAATAGAAAATGCTATGTAAGTAAGACACTACCAGTTGAAGAGCAAAGAAAAGAATTAGAGGCTAGAGATCACCTAGAAAGCTACTGCTAAGAGTAAGGGAGCACAGTTAAGCAGAGGAGCTGCAGAATGGAGACAAAGGGTCACAAATTGATAAACCTCCCACAACAGCTCAGGAGATGATTAACTGGCCCGTTATAGAGCGTCAAAAGTAACTCCAAGTTAGGGAACTCTTGATATGAGGTCAGGAGGGAAAAAGGTTCCATAATAATGGAAAAATAACTTTACTCAGAGGAAGATAATTTAATTTCCAATGTCTAAGAGAAGCTCTTAGACAGCCCAATGGTCAATCAGGTGAGAATATGAGCAAAGACTTGCTGGGAGGAGGTCGCTGATGTTTTAGAGGCTTCAGGGGAGCAAGTGATCCACAAGTTCAAGGGGAGCCAGATATAGGCTTGTACATCAGGAGTTCAGTTACAAAAGGCAAAAGTGAAGGCTAGCTCATGCCTGTAATCCCAACACTTTGGGAGGCTGAGGTGAGAGGATTGCTTGAGGAGTTCAAGAGCAGCCTGGGCAACACAGCAAGACCTCTCGCTACAAAAAATAAAAAAATTAGCTGGGCATGGTGGTATGCACATCTGTAGTCCCCAGCTACTTGAGAAACTGAGGTGGAAGGATTGCCTGAGCCTAGTAGGTCAAGGCTGCAGTGAGCCACAATTTTGCCATTGTACTCCAGTCTAGGTGACAGTGAGACCCCACCTCAAAAAGAAAAAAAAGGCAAAAGTGAGATCAGACAGAATGCAGAAGGCATCAGAGTCATAAAAGCCTTGCTTCATCTCTGGAGCTGCAGTGTGGGAATAATTAAAAGCAGAAGTTAAAATCAAGCTATTGATAGGGAGAAGGAAATAGGCAGAAAAAATTTTTAAAGAATAAAACAAAAAAAATTTTAAGAAAAAAAAATAAAGGCAGAGCGGGTAAAGAGGGATAGAGAACTAAAGATGTTAAAAATGAAAGGGAAATTTGGAACGGAAAACATTAAACATGCAACTCCCGTTGCTAATGGCTAACAGCCACCACAATTGGACAGGCTGTGTGCTACAATTCAGAGCATAAATTTGTGTATTTACTATGAAACATTTTTTTGGCAGATGGCAGTACAGTGTCTCGAGGAAAGGGCGCCTTTTCCTAATTCATACAAGGTGGCTGTCCTGGCTCTCATTCAGCTTACTTCTTTTTGCTTTCTACCACATCTAGAGGGTTTTCTCCACATATATGGAAAGTTGGGCTTGTTCTCCACTCTCCCTAGAATTTGCTACAAAGTTAAGCCTCTCCCATCCAAGAGGGGCTGTTGTCTGATCTGAAGATCTCTGTAGTGCTGGAGATTGTTTCTGCTATCGACTATCCAGAGCTGTGACCCCTGCAGGCAAAGATCCCAAAGAGGGTTCAGGGAGCAGTGCCAGCCCCTCCCCAACCATTATTATTCCTTTACCTTCACTTTCCACCTCCCTCCACCAGTCTGAAATCACCATTGCACCTACCTGCTCAGCATTTCTTTGGGATTGCAGGTGGGAGTGCAGGCGCCGGATAAGGGGGACACCGTTCCGTGCCTGCCGCTTCAATAGCCAATAGTTGTGAAGTCGCTGCATAAACTGGTTTTTCCTCTGAAAGGAGAGACCACTACAGATCTTGTTCAACCTTTAGCAGAGGCACAGGGGAGTGAAAGACAGGGTCAGTGGGCAGCCCAGATTACAGCCCATGCATCCTATCCAGACCCTGGTTCATTTCTGAACTTTGTAGAGAAAGATAGAATAAAGTAGCCAAATGCCTCACCTCAAAGAAAGGTTTGAAAAGGATAGTAAAGTTCAGCAGCTCAGACTCAGCACAAGGTATTTCACTTGCTTTTCACCTCATGCCTTGTGGTCCTGATCCTCCAAAAGAAACTTCTCCCAGAAACCCTGTTTCCTATGATCCTGGACTTCTTTCTTCCATGTATGGGCTAAGAAACAAGTCTGTGCCCGACACCCCACACTCCTCCTTACAAAAGCAGCAAAAGGGAACAGGAACTTGAGTAAGCTATGGGCAATATGGCCACTATTTCCTGCCTCCTGTGGCTGAGGGTCCCACCAGAACTGGGGGTAGCCCACAACCAACCTGGAAGGAAAACCAGTAGAAGTGCATCAGGCTAGTTCAAATTCTAACCTAGCCATGAGTCAAACCCCTTAGAGTTGTCTGACCTCTGGTTTTTCATTTTAAAATTTCAGAAGCTTAAAGATGTTGCCTAGTTTTGAGCCAAAAAAAAAAAAAAATTGGACCTAAAGGTTTTAAGAGGATGGAAAATCTGAAAACTTAGCTGGCTAACCTACTTAAAAATCTTTTGTTTTGTTTTTTGAATTGGCGCCTCACTCTTGTTTGCCCAGGCTGGAGTGCAGTGGCACGCTCATGGCCACCACAGTCTCGACCTGCTGGACTCAGGCAATTCTTCCATCTCAGCCTTCCAAGTAGCTGGTCCTACAGATGCATGCCACCACGCCCGGCTTAGTTTTTGATGTGCTGTAGAGACAAGGTCTCACCAAGTTGCCCAGATTGTTCTCGAACCCCTAGGCTCAGGCAATCCTCACCTCAGCCTCCCAAAGTGCTGGGATTACAGGCTGAGCCACAGCGCCCGGCCTACTTAAAAATCTTGAGGTCAAGGTTTAGGCCCTGATGGGAGGGAAGGGGTAGGAGAGGAACTAATACAAGCCTACAATTTTTGTCCTCATGTCTGTTCCTCAAGGTGAGTAACATTCCATTACAAAAGATGGAAAGGCAGCTTAGGAACAGAAGCTAAATAACCTGTCAAAGTAACTAATACAGATAATAAGATGGTGAATCTGTGTGAGATCTGAATCTTATATACTCTCTGCTACACCCTGGTGCGGTCCCAGATGGGTATCCACAGGGCAAGCAAGACCTAAGTGCTCCTGCAGTAATTGCTCCGCTTTTTCTCTTTATCTCACTCCACTGAAATGAAGGCAAGTGTGGCTAGGCAAGAAGGTGAAAACTCAGACGGATGGGCATGTTGGGCAAGAGACTGCATATCTAGGCCTTGCTCCTCTCCAGTCATATATTCCTGCCCCAAAGCCAAGCTTATAAAATCAAGGACTAGGCCTTTTCCCAAAGGACAGATCCCCACCATTGCCGAGGCCAAGCACACCTACCCAGATGTAGGTAGCACCCTCCCTCTACAACCTCTTGGCCATGGAGGGTCCCAACAGCATTTGTGCAGGTAGGGAAAAGAACAATAATAAAATAGCAGCAGCAGCAGCCACCATTTATTGAGCGCTTACTATTTGCCAGACACTGTGCTAAGTGCTTTACTTACATGATCTCATTTATTTCTCAAAACTCTGTGGTGAGTTCATTTACAAATAAACAAACTAAAGCTCATAGCCATTAAACAGCTTGCCGAATGTCACACTGGTACTAAGTGACAGAAATGGGTTTCAAATGCAAGTCTATCTGGTTCTGAGCCAGCAAACACACTGGGCCCAGAGAAAGAGACATCTAGAAGGTCATACATAACAAGGCATAACCACCCTATAGAGGGGGACTAAGTATCCACTCATTCACATCAGGAAAGAGTTCCTAGAGCAGCTCTGTGACTAGAAATCATATTCAAAGTTGCTCAAATTGTAACTTGGGCCATGGCTGGCAACAAGAACCTCTCCTTCCTGATCTCACTCTGTGTCCTCTTCCTAGCCTGGCAAGTCTGGTTTCCTATCCATAGCCCTCACACAACTCATTCCCTAGTACCTTCACACCGGTTTCCCTACCCTTTTCATCAAGACAGACGGTAGGAACACAATCTAGTGGCGTCATGAGCTCTACCTTGTGGCCCAGGGTCTGTCACTTCCCACCTGGTTCCAACCCTTAGAACAGAACATGGCATGTAATAAGTGCTCAATAAATATATCATTGCATGAATAAAGGAGTGAACAACTTTACCTCCTGTGGCCGCAGTTTCTTCATCTGGGGGTGTGGGAGAAGGTCAAGGACTACATTAGATGAATAATCTCCAAGATTTCTTCCTGCTCTAACACTGTATACTTTTTAAATGAACATCACCCTTGAGATGAGCCTGCAAAATCTTCCCTGTCTCACTTCTCTGCTAAGCTCCCATTTCTCCAACAGCTCCAGCTACCTCTGTGGTTTAAAAGAAGTACAGTGGTCTCTCTACAGAGACACAGTTACACAGTTACACAGCTGAACCGAGTAATCCTCTTTCTCCTAAATCTAAAGCTTCTCAAGAGGAGCATGTTCTCCATACACCACCACTCCCTTTATACAAAGTCCACATCATACTCAGACAGAGCTTGCTGGACAGCAGATATCCATACTGACCCCTTGAAACAATAGTTCTGTTGGAAAGAGTTGTGCCCCCAACCTCCTCCCCCTGCCACCCTCCCGCCCCCAGGGATTTTGAAAACATGCATGGGAAGTGTTTGAGGTTGTCCCAAAGAACAGGTAATGGGGAAGAGAATGTAACTGGCATTTATAAAGACCAGGGATACTAAACCTCTAGAAACACACGGGACAGTTCTAACAGTAAAGAATTATCCGCCAGGCTCGGTGGCTCAGCCTGTAATCCCGTGCCTTTGGGAGGCTGAGGTGAGTGGATTGCCTGAGCCTGTGGGTTCGCGACCCGCCTGGGCAGGTGAGACCTCATCGCTGCAATAAATCAAAAAAATTAGCAGAGCGTGGTAGCATGGGCCTGTAGTTCCAGCTACTTGGAAGGCTGAGGCGGAAGGATCGCTGGAGACCAGCAGGTCAAGGCTGCAGTGGCCAGGAGTGGCCACTGCACTCCAGTCTGGGCGACAG